CTATTTTAGAGAATATAGCTATTGAAGGTGTCATACATCATCTTTATTCGCATGAATATTTCTAGTTTTAACAGGAATTTAATTATGTCATCAAGCTGCTTTTGAAATGCAGGCATTTCTGCATATATCAGTATTGTAACCCTTTTTTTTCACTAAAACAAATCTATGTTAAAGCAGGTTTCTTAAGTAATAAAACTGTCTTCTTAACTTTGAATAATTTTGAGTATAGTTTCCAACACGACATCTGAAGCTTGTGAAGCCAATTTTGTGATATGTGCTCATGGTTATAAATGCCACCAAGGAAGAGAATTACAGCTAGGGATCAGTTGGCAGTTAAGAAATGATATGCATATTAATATGTAAATATGAAAATCTAGTTTGATGGATTCAGCAGTTCTGGCTTGGTGGTAATTGATCAAGCTACACAAAGATTGTAGGTCATTTCCCAGTTTAGCAGCATTATAAAATACATTCTGGTTAGACATCTTGTGTAGTTCTTGTTCTGCTTGAAGTCTGTAAAGGCTGCAACTTCTTAGCAATCTCTTCCCTTCAAGTAACTCATTTATTTGAATATATTTTCAAAAGGAGATGAGGTAATCCATCTTTCCAGTCAGCAATCTGACTCCCATTTTGCTGAGGACATGATAATGTCACTTCTAGGCTGTAGTTTTGTTCAGTAGTGAATTGCTCACCCTGATACATCTGAGATTGCCCTGATGGACACTTGGGGTGTGGAACCAGGGTATTGTATAGACAGACATTCCTTGTTGCCATTTTTCCTGCTGACATCTTGTAGTATGGTGATTAAAATTACTTGGGTACACAATGTTTGCGTGTCTGGTTTTTGTTTAGAAACCTAAAAAATCTCTAACTCTCTTTCAGCCAGAAAACCTTGCACAGAAGCTCCCAAACCTCGTGGAATTGTGAGTTTGTGTAGGAGTTCTAATATATTTTTATTATGCTTATCTGTCTCATCTTAAAATAATCTAGACTCTATTACTTGCATATAATTTCTCTCTTAAGTGTGGAGGGTTTTCTTGGAGGGCAAGAAAGGGTAATTTTTTTATTGTTGTATTTTCTTAATTTGTTTGTTGTTGGGTTTTCTGACAGAGGTGTATGAAGTCCAATTTTAATTTTTTTAAAATTTCTTGTTTATTGTATGAGAAGAACTTGATACCACTGTCTATCCTGCTAAGAGAAAAAAACCTTACCCCATAAATTCCGTGCAGACTTGTCACACTGATCAAGCCCTGGAAGCTCCCAGGGCAGTGGTCAGAGGTTGTGGCAGAGGCAGGGTAACAGGTTACAGCCTCCAGCCCATCCCCTGCTGCTCCTTCCCAGCCCAGCTCCCAGGGGTGCCATGATCTCAGGCGTGCTGATTGCAGTAATCAGGTTTTGGAACCCAGTCCCAGATTGTCAAACAGGAGCAGGGATGAGCACGTAGGGGTGGTAACTGTGGAATGATGATTGCTGTAGGCAGAGCAGCTTATCCAGTCTTGTCCAAAAAATGGATGTCCCATGAACTGGATTGTTTTGACAATTAATTTAATTAAGCCCCTGAGACAATGTTTTCTTCCTTCCCCTTTCCTTATAAAGTTGTGATTCCCTTCTCTGGTAGGATTGGCAGTGCAGGGTTAAAAGGAATATCCTTTTCTCCCCTTTCAAGCCCTTTGTCTCAGTTTCACATGAGTACCTGGTGGAGCATTGATTGTTTATTTAATGGCCAGCTCCCCTCAGGAGGGGTTTGTCCGAGGAGCCCTCAGTGGCTGATCTGGGCATCCTCACGTGGCCCTTTAACCCCACCTTGCTGCTGCCTTGTGCAGTGTGCCTGAACTGGTTTGCAGCTCACTGCAGTCTCTGACTCACTCAAGAGCAAATCCTATCTGATCATGCCTCTGTCTTGAGAGCAGTAAAATTAATATTTTCATATTTGATATCATGATTTGCCACTGGGCATCAGGAAACCTCCCTGTTATTTGATACTGTTTTTAGGAAAACCTGTTCAAATTACAGTTTAAAATAATTTCTTACAAACACTGATTTATAGGAGTCAAGCCTAATTATTTGGTGTTCAGCAAGCTCAGTTGTCCCACCATTATCCCACACATTCTGGTGGTCTGGAGAGAGCTGCAATGGGCCTGTGGTTTGTGTAGCTCTAATAGGACAAGTCAGTTTTTGATGAGACAATAAAAGGTGTTTTGTTGTTGGGGAAGAGACCACAAAATAAGAATTTGTTTCAAGCATAATTTGGTACAGTAGTTTTTAATTTTTAGAGACAAACTTAAATTATTTTTGTTTTCCTAAAAGTTACATCCTTAGTTATCTCACTTGTGTGGTTTTCTGTGTGTATCATGCCCCTGATGCTGGGCTATGAGCCCCTCATAATACAGGGGTTTTTTAGCTTAGGTGAGGTAGTTCACAAATATTTTCAGGAGCTGCAGCTGAAATGGGTAAGAGAATGCTCATCCTATATTTCTACAAACATGTATGCCATTCTTACATTGTTGTTGTTAAGTTTTTAGCAAACTACAATTTTTAAAGAGAAAGAGAAGGTTTAGGTGCCCCATGCAGTTGAAATATTTATACTTTTTTTCCCTTGTTCTGTCTCCCTGAAAAGAGAGGTTCCTGCTTTAGGAAATGCTCTTGGAATACAGTAGGAAAAAATATGCCATGAAAATAATTCCATGTGTGCCTAAGCAATTGAACACTGAGTACTCAATATTCCTTTGCAGTTGGATATCAGTATTGGAAAATTTTGTTACTGTTATTTCCTACAAGATACAATTGTTCTTTTGCAGCAGTGATGATTGAAATCTGAAATGTGTAAAATCTAAGATCAGTGTTTATGTTACCAGAAGTACTGGAAGTGCTCCATCAGAGGGTGCTGAATATTCTTAGTGAGAGATCTGGCCACCCTCTGTAGCTGCATAAATAACCATGTGCAGGATTGGGTTTTTCTTTTGAAAAATGTACTTTAAGCTTGAAAAACCCACTTTGAGTGAATAGATCATGTGCTTATTTCTTCACCAAAGGTATGAGAGTTTATGTGTAGGGGAAAATGTTTGTAATTGTGTTACTTGTGTGGGTGTGGGCTTTTTTTGCTTACCTTGGCCAGCATTTAGTGTCAAATAACTTGGTGATCAAATATGATTTATTCTGGTTATTCTCTCTGCTTATTCTTTTCCTTTTTTGTTTTCCTCCATATGACTTGCAAAATTAAAGCCTGTTATTATTATAACTGTGAATGGTTTGTTTTACATAATTGTATGTAATTTTCTTTTATTTTTATGGTAATCATTTAATAATCCAAGTGAAACTTAAGTACCTGTCCATTGCCAGTTTATACAGTTTGCACAGCTTTTGTGGTCATAGGGAGGAATGGCTTTGAGGGTGCTCTTTCAGTCTGAAACTGGATATTTTGCAAACTGATTATGTAGCAGAAGTCCTTGAGGGTAACAGGTGGTGTCCTCTGCTTTTTCTCCTCCCCCCAGGTACCTTCATTCAAATAACATAGTTGTTGTACCTGAAGGTAAGTAATCTACCAGCTCACAATAAGTGGCAGGAGTCATAAAATATTCATTTTTCTTCTTTTGAAGAGGCCTATTTTTCCTTTATTTTCCCATAAAACATTAAACATTTTCATACAAAATATACCAGTGTAGCTTTTAGTTGATAATGTCCTTGTTTATGCTATGTTAAATTCTTTTAATGAATTCTCAAATGCACCTAAATGCTGTTTGCTCCAGTTCTAATTGCAGAAAGGGAGAAGGCTAAATGGCACTCATCTGCAGGAACTAAAAATCCAGAGTGTCTGCTGCTTTCAGGCAGTTACCACACTGAATGCTCTGCTGCTTTAGATCATGACAGGTTTGAAACCCAAAGGAGCAAGAACTTGCACTAGTTTCTTTTCTTTGTCTTAATTGCAGTTATGCTCCCAACTTGAGGAATTTGTGTTCAATTTCTGATCTTTCTGAATAGAAATTGGATAGAGTCAAAGGAAGAGAATGGAGAAAGTGGTTTCAGAGCAGAATTGTGTGAGGAGGGTCTGGATGTGACGGTGTTGGCAGGGGCCTTAGGATGAGGGAAGAGATGAGAATCTTGACTCCATGTTTCACAAGGCTTGATTGATTATTTTATGATATATATTCTATTAAAACTATACTAAAAGAATAGAAAAAAGGATTTCATCAGAAGGCTGGCTAAGACTAGAAAAGGAATGCTAACAAAGGCTTGTGACTGACTGAGACAGTCTGGACAGCTGGACTGTGATTGCCATTAATTAGAAACAACCACATGAGCCCAATCCCAGACCCACCTGTTGCATTCCACAGCAGCAGATAATCAATGTTTACATTCTGTTCCTGAGGCCTCTCAACTTCTCAGGAGAAAAAATCCTAAGGAAAGGATTTTTCAGAAAATATCATGGCTACATTTGGAGATAGGAGCATTATGTACATCCCCGTGTTTGTTGGCCCTGTCTCACTGCCAGCAGAGCTGTTTGTGAGCTAGAGCAGCACTCCCACAATTGATGGCACTGAGCTGTGAGACCCCTTTAACACCTCGAGATGTGCTCACACACAGCTGTGGCTGCTGGGGCCTGCCCTCCCCTCACAGTCCCGAGAAGGTTTTCATGTCACTCCTGGGTCACATTGATGCTTTAATCTGTTCTCTCACAAGCCATTGGCTCCCTGGTTAAGCTGCAGTTTCTGGACCTGAGTGACAATGCCCTGGAGATCGTGTGCCCGGAGATCGGCCGCCTGCGCTCCCTGCGGCACCTGCGCCTGGCAAACAACCAGCTGAAGTATTTACCTGCAGGTGAGTCAGTGCCTGGGGCTCACAGCCCTCACACAGCCCTGCCTTGGTGCTCTCAGTGCTGCACCCTGCACTTGCAGGATTGCAGTTTGGAGTGCTCCCAGTGGGCGCTACTTAGGGAAAAGCTGCTCTCTGTGCTTGTAGAGTCCTAAGAGATGCTGCTGAAGTGGGAAAAATGCATTTATTTAACAGCCTTTGCCATCGTATCAAGAAAATATTGAACTTCTTTGAGAAGACACAAAATGCCAATGACAACTGTCATTATGATAAAATGATGTTTCTCCCAATTTTCCACAATAGAAAGGATTCCGGTCTTTCCTTCCTTTTTTTTCGCCCAACAGCCCCAATCTCATATTTTCTAAAAAGACACATGTCCAGCAGCTTTGCCTATGGCAGTTCTAGCTCATTGTGACAGAAGATAACAAATGTTTGTCTTGTTAGTTTATAATAAAAAAGCAAAACTTACTCAAAGTAAATGTGACACAAAGTCAAAAAAAGTTGGCCATAGGCAGATTTTGAATGATTGGTTTTTGTCTTCTAAATATTTTGATAAGCAGATATAACATTATTATTCTTCTATCACCCTTATATCTGTTCAGATAAGATGATGGTGATTTTCAAATACTTTTTTAATTTTGGTTTTTAATTTTCATTTGGTGTATTTGCATTTTCTGATCTGCAGAGATGATAAAAATTTAAGGCTATGATTTCAAAAAACGGGTCTAACTTAATCTAACAGGATTAGCTCTTGGCTCTATTTTAACTAATTTCTCAATGTGACCTTCATGTGTTTTAAGTTCACATTGTTTATTCTCAAGACATGTTCTGCAAATGCTCCTTGAAGTTTTGGGTGCAGAAATCTTGCTGTCCTTTCCTTGCACTTTTCTAGACTGCTTAAAAAAAGTCAAAGGATGGTTATGATTAGAAAGAAAAAAAATTGTATATGACTATGTAAATGCTCTGGAATGAAATTAGATAAACCTGTTAAACATTATGACCCAGGGCCAATAAAATTTCCATCAATTTTCAGATGTCCTACATTCAAAAGAAAGGAGTGACTTGAGTGTGCTTTATGTTCCTCAAAGATAATTTACCTTATGGTGCTGTACCATGAAAGAAAGACTTGTTCAAAGAAAAAGTGACACATTTTCTGCAAAACTTCACACATTAACTTAAAAAGGTTCCAAAAAAGACTTTCAAAAGGATAATTTACATTACTGAAGAGTTGATTTGGAGTCTACCACATTTGATTAGGAACTGGTATCAGCTGAGACTTGCTGCAGTAAATTTCTCCTGAAGTTTATAGAGAATTTGGTCCTGAGCATTGTCCCTGAATGTGTTTTTATGTGTGCATGACAAGTCTGCATGCTTAGGAATGCTGCTGGTGTTGCTGCTGTGCACTGGGCTTTGTGTTTGTGGTGGTGTCCCTTGTGCCACTCTGGTGCTCATCCTGTCCCTGTCAGTGGCACTGGATGGCACACGAGTGTTACAGCCCAGGCAGGATTGCCCTTTCACCCACACTGCATCATTTGCCCACTGGAGAGTTCATCCATTGCACTGTTTCCTAAACAGAAGTTTAGGAATTCCCAAAGAGGGCTTCCAAGCATGTTTTCTTAGATGTTCTCTGTAAAATTGTGAGGACTTCAAAGACTTCATTAAAAAAAACTTAAGAGTTTCAAAATAACACTTATGCTCAACAATTGAAAAAGGAGAGCAAAATAATAAATTTTGATGAATTGTTTCATTCTTAATTATACTGGTAGCATGAATCTTCATTACAGTGTCAGCTAGCATTCTGTTGGGAAAGCAGGCAAAGTTCAGCTGAGCTGGGATGGGATGTGATTGCACTGCAGTGCATCATTTTACTGTGTGCTCACTGCTTTCTGTGCAGCAGACACTGCACTGCTGGCAAAGACAGCTCTAAAGGGCTCTTAATTTATAATAAGGAGCCATTTAAGATATGACTTAGTTTCTACTTGTGCAGAATTTAAAGATCTGCATTTTAAAAGTGCTTTTGGGTTTAGATGACAGTCATTTATGGAAATGACTTGAGAGTGGTTGCACTGGCATTCCTCTTGGGTCTCCATTCCCCGTGTCTGGTGTGAAAAGTACTGTCAGTTTTTTCAGAATTCCATGGATATCTAGGAAGATACTCTCAGTAATATCCTACATCAGTTGCTAAAAAATATCCTTCTTGCAGCTGCAGAACAGTTGGATGGTAAATGTTTGCTATTATGTGTCTGAACAACCCCACTGTTCTACTGCATTTTAATTCTTAAGAATGATTCTTTGCTGTGTCTTGTTTAATTGTGATTAAGAGCTGGAAGAAACAATGCAATTAATAGCATATGTTGATTCATTATGCATTTTTAATGGCTTTGTTCCACAATTGTGCTCTTACTGTTCATTTTTAGTATTTAAGATTTGTCTTGTAGAAATCAAATTTTAAACTAATTGAAGTGGTGTGCATTCAGGATTTAGATGGAAGCCTCTGCTCTGATTGTAGAGAATCTTCAGACTCTGATAGAGGTTGAGTCTGTGCTGTGGTTTATCTGCACTGGGATGGGCAAGGTTTTAATCTTTGAAGTGCTTGTTTTAATAAAACATGGGAGAATTTAATAATGACACCCCCTCTGCTTTTCTCAGGTATGGTCAAGATTGTTCAGTAAGCTTTAAAAAATCATTTTAAGGCAGGAGATGAGGGGGAATGATAAAAATACATGCAGCCCGTGTGGAGACATCAGCTTTAGCTTCCTGAGGAGATGAGGCCATAGAGCACTGATGATGGGGAATGGGTATTGGAATATGAATCCCAATATAACCAGTTAGATGGTGCCTGGGCCAGTTCTGACCTTCGCTGCTGGGCCAAAGGCAGCACTGCGGTGTTTTACCCCAGAGATACCTTGGCTGCTGGAGAGTGCAGCGGGGCAAGTCCAGGACTCCGTTTACCTCAGGAGAGAGAGCTTCTGGCGATGGTGGAGAGAAAGGGAGTGGATTCTGCTAGAAGGTTGCCAGATGTTTATTCCATGGGTACAGAGATGTCTGCACCGGGCCACTGCTGCTAACAGAATGAGGCCGCATGGTCTCATTAACATTTTAAGCTCAGGACCGGGGAAGGGGAGGGGACAGGTGAGCCACCAACCAGGTGAAGGGGCAGGGTCTCAAGGGACTAGGGACACCTATCACACGATGCCTTGCTGGTATGTTAGCCTGATTGACAGGGCACACTCAGCGAGGGGCGAGGGGGAAGGGAGAAGGTAAAACAGGACATTGCAACACACCGCAACAAATGGGAATGGGGTGAAGCATGGAGATGGTGTCCCTGGGAGATGGGGAAGCCCCTCCTGTGCAGGGGCACTGTGGTAGTGAGGGTGAGAGTCCTCCCTTTGTGCTCCCAAATCGCTGCCACCCTCGGGTCCCTCTGAGCTTTGGCCTCGGGGCTCTGTGTCTGGTTTGCCTCTGCTGAGGGGCTCCCTCAGCCTCCTGCAGCTGTGAGAGCTGCTCAGGGGGCTCAGCTGAGCTTGATCAGAGAGAAAGGATAAAATTTGTCCAGAATAAGTGTTGTTCAGGCTGAAATATAATAGCAAATGCCTGGAAGAAAATGCTTTGTGGAATTCTCCTAATGTCATATTTTGAATATACTTTAGATAAGATTAATAAGGGGACCAGCTTCTGCCTAATGCAGAGTCTTCAGTATCTACATTCTGGGGTAATCAGAATCCCTGAGAGGTTCTGCCTTTCAGAGACGAGCTGATTAAAGAGTTGCAGATAAGTAGAAAGAGATTTAATGTTCTAAAGTTCTCTTGAGGACTTGTTTTCATTTAAATGCACAACATTTTTTTGTTCTGCAAATTGTAAATCTTGTAGCTGCTGTCTGTAACAGTTTCTTAGTTCATTTATTTGGCTCTGGTAAATGCAGTTTTTGAACATGAAGTAAGTTTTGTCAAGTTTTCTACTATTTAAATGTAGTACTTAAATAATCTAAATTCTTGAGGGCCATTTGGAAATGTGTGACACCAAAGATGTTACTGGAAGAAGTCAGCACAAACGAAAGATGGTTATTTTATTTTATTACGTTAGTTCATGTAAGAGCTTGACTTAGATATGACACTGTGTTTTCACAGTAGCTGAACTTTATTTTTTCAGAGATTTCTCCTTTTGTTCAGTGAATTGATATTTCATTTTAATTTAGAATCATAGAGTTAGTTCTATATGCATGTACTGTCAGAAGGAAATTTTCTGAATCTTGCTGAATTCTCTCACTCACAAATTACTAACTAGGAGGGTCCCCTTTGTTTCTGATGGTTATAATGCACATGATACTTCAGCTCCTTTCATTCTTCAGAAATAATATTTCTCTTTGTGTAATAGTTATTGTGTCATTTGGAAAAAAAAATCCAGTGATATACATTATAAAAATGATTCTTGAAGAGTCCCAAAACCAAGGTTCTCTGTTTTGCTGTTACCATTTAGATTTGGTTTGATTTTAGCTTTGGAGTCCTTTGATGTGTAGTGGTGGCTCTTCAGGTTTACATTTTGGTCTTGTAGCTGGAATGCATGTTTGGGGAACAGATGACTTAAAAGAGGGTGGATTATACTCAAATTTGGATTCAAGTTTCTTATTTGACAAGGATTAGGGTTTTTTTCCCCATTATTTGAAAGGTACTTCTCTTTAGAAACAGCAAGTTTTGTACCATCTTGTTCTAAGATTTAATTAAAAGTGAGGTTATGTTTACTCAGCACATGCTGGAGTTAATTATAGATTTACTGAAATGAAAAGCTTAATGTTTTGCCAAGTCAAGAGCAAAAGCTAAGTAATTAAAGAAGAGGGTATGGTTTATGATCCCAGCCCATCTTTTGGCAAAATTCCCTTTAAGAAGAGGGAGAAAAAAAATCAGCAGTTGTCTTTACATGGGCTAGACCATGGTTCCCTTTGTGTTTGTTGTTCAGGAACTTTAAAAACCAAGAGCTGAGTGCGTTGACCAAGAAAAAAAAAGTGACCA